TTATTTGTCTCAAATCAGGCAGGCCCTTGCTCAGCATAGCTGATGGTAGGGTCTATAGGCGATTGTACAAAAAGTGGGTAGAAATAAAACAACAAGAGGTGGTATAGTAATCAGTGAGGTGTGATCCAGACAGGTAATCGTGCTCTATTCTGTAATGCACTAAGACTGTGATCTACAGAAAGTGACCTGCAGCAAGCATTTTTTTAAAAAGTCAAACAAAATGGTGATTGTTCAAAGCTTCCCTGGATGAGAGAAGTAAGAGATAAGCACATTGGGATGACTGGGGCAGAAAGGACATTGGAAAAGATTTAATATGAAAAGTGAAATTCTTCTCGAAAAGGTGATATTAGGCTTTAAAGAGCCTGCCTGCAGTCCTGACCTTTCACCAAATGCAAATATATGGCACATTTTGAAAATAAATAACAAAGAACACCCAGGACTGTTTCGTTAGATTTTTATAATGGTTACGAATGAGACAACATTCCTCTCCCAAAAAATCCAACAGCAGGTCTTCTCAGTTCCCAGATCTTTTATGGAGTGTTGTTAAAAGAGGGGATGCTACACCATGCTAAACATGGCCCTATCCCAACTTTGAGATGTGTTGCTGCCATCAATTTCAGGATTGCTTTGTTTTATTCCTAAAATGGTAAATGTTCTCAGTTCAAACATTTTGATGTTTTTTATTTTCTATTGTGAATAAAATATGGGTTTAAGATTTGCAAATCATTGCAATGTTTTTTTTTTTTGTTTTTTTTTTTTAGTAGATTTTTTTGGATTGGGGTTGTATTCTATTGCTGTTATTGAACCGTTCTTATGGCAGAACAGGAGAGCTGCTGGATCGAGTTTACATGGGCAGAAGGAAGTTTCACCAACCCTTCTCCCGCCTTCCGCAGCCTTTCCAGCCTCTCTCATTCCGCCAGCTTACCATAGGGATGAAGGAGGAATGGAAGTTCCCTGATCTTCCCTGTGGTTTATGAAACCGGAAGTGAGTATTTTGTCACTTCCAGTTTTGGATTGATGTTTACAAGCCATTGCCGCCTTGTAATAGCATACACAATTTTAAAGGATATGTTCACCTTTTATAACATGTTATGTGTTACACCGGAATTCAGAGTGTAACATGCAAAATGTTAATAAATGCACAGCCCCCGCACCCTCCAGAGCCCCATTGTGACAGCGAGAGGGGGATTTTCTCCCTGCAGCTACTGTCACAATTTAAAAGGAATGAGGCCGTGCGGGGCTGCACACACATGGCCATGTCATTCATTCATTAAGTTGTGTGAATGAATGAAGTCCAACTACCATCAACCATTGCAGCTGGCTGCTTGTAGTTCTCGATGAATTATGAGGGCGCTGGGGAACGCTCTAGTAGTTTGATTATGGCTACTTTCACACTGATCAGTTTTCCTTCTTTTTGTCTTACCAAAAGCAGAAGACAAATGCATGACCATTAAATCCTAAGGAGCTCTTCACACGAGTCAGTTACGTTTTTAAAATTCCTGCTTGCTGCATTTTTTGTGCGGTAAAAACCCACACCAAAAATGCACCTCCTAATTGAAATTAATGGAAAATGCATCAAAAAGCGGTTGCATTTTTGGTGTGTTTTTACAGTCCTTTTTCATAGCTGCAAAACGCACCAAAAAAGCGTCAAAAACACATGCAGTTTTTACCACATCTTTGTAACTGAGCAGTGTGAAACAGCCTATTTTTGCAATTCAGTAACTGCCTTCCTGTACGTGGTTACACTGACAGTCTGCAGAAACCATGCAATGCTTTACAGGCTCCAAGTAAAAAAAAAAAACTAATAAATGCACTCTCTTTTTTGTCTTTAACCTGCAAAAAGATGTGCATTTTATAATTATTTTTTTTTTTAAAAAGTGAACTTTGTCTTTAACCGCTTCCCGACTGCCCTGTAGCAGAACTACTGCTACAGGGCGACAAGGCTGAGCAAAATCTCATACATGGTTTTGTATTTCTGGGTAGGGTGCGTGCGTGCGTGCCGCCATTGGCGGCTACAGCTGTCAATCACCGACTCCCGGAAGGAGATTCCCTGCTGGCACCCTGCGATCGCCATGGAACACTGACAGCGGAGAGGTCTGTATGTAAACAATACAGATATCTCCCCTGTCAGCACCAGCACACTGCTTTGTATTGCTCTGCATTGCAGAGCAATTAAAAGCAGTGTGCTTACTACTCAAAGCACACACAGACAAAATGGCAAAACTGCGCACAGTTAACCTTTTGCCCCAGATGTTAACCATTTCCAGCCCAGTGTCAGTGCTTTTTATTAGCACTGATCATTGTATTAGTGGCAGTTAGTTCCCCACCCGCAGTGCCGCTATAAGTTGCTGATCACCCCCCATTACTAGTATAAAAAAGTTCCAGTATATATACCACCAATTGTAGACACTATAACTGTCACATAAACCAATTCATGTACACGTGTAGGGATTTTTGTGTAGCAAAAACATGTAGCAGAACACATTTTGGCCTAAATTTATTAAGAAATTTGATTTTTTTTTTTTTTTTTTTACTGGATATGTTTTATAGCAAAAGTCAAAAATGTGTTTGTTTTTTTTTTTTTTGTTTTTTTTCTCAAAATTGTCAGTATTTTGTTTGTAGAGCAAAAAAATAAGTCTATCAAATACCACTGAAAGAAAGCTCAATTTGTGGGAAAAAAGTACATCCATTCCAATAATGTACAGAGTTTGTGTGACCGTTTGCAGCTGTCAGTTAAAGTAACGCTGCGCTGTATCGAAAAAATTTCCTGGTCAGAAGGGGGGGGGGGGGGGTGAATCCTCTGGAGGGCAAATGGGTAAAGCTTTACATAAAACGCAAACCCCAGCGCACAAAGAAATTGAATCTAAATAAAATTAAGGTAACGGTATGCCGCTGTGCAACAGTGTAAAACACCAATTAATAAAGAAAAAATACATATGACAGCGCAAAACCCAAAACTCTTCACCATAAATTGACATTAAACAACATCAATAATGTAAATAATATAAGTGTCCACAAAATAATAGTGTCATAAATGAATAAATTAATATAAATGAACGTCCTTCTTCCCAAAGGTGTATACTGAACAAATAAATTTTCTCCCAAAGAAATTGTGCTTCCACCAGTGAAAAATCAACATCAACCGCGCTCACCAGATAATGGTGAGTAATGCGCCTTTTAGGATTTTAGGGATCCTATGCCCCCTCTAAATTCTCCAGAGCTCTTTATCCACCTTGACTGATGCTCTCCTCCTCCTCACTCCTTCAAGAGCTCCCCAGCAGTGCAAGAAAAAAGGAATACCATAGTGTAATACTGCCAGTAACTTTCAATATAATAATAATACCAGGCCACTCACATGTTCAAGGAAAGTTAAAAGCATTTGTTTAATAGCCTCATCGGCTCACACAGATCCACATATCCACAATAATAGCAGGAACCTCACAGCCTTGTGGTTTGCAGAGAATAACAATGTAATCCAACATCAAAGATGGCCGCTTGGAACGCACCTGTCACGTACCTGATAGGAGACTGAATTAACGAGATCGGCCTCACTTGTGTCACTAGCCCTGACCCCGCTGAGGTTGGAACAGAGGGAGTCTAGGGACCAGGGGGACAAGAGCGCCTGAGGTGGTTGCTAAGTACAAAATCAGTAGGAGAAGCCAAAGTCAGGAGCAGAGCTGAAGTCAGGAACCAGGAGCAGGAGAGCAATCAGTCGGGTCAGGAACAAGCCAGGTCAGCACCAAAGGAATCGCGCAGGACACGGGAAAGCTGAAGACCAGTCAGCAGGGAATCATCATTGAGTTGCTCCTTAAATAGCCCGCCCAGCGCCGACAGGCGCGCCTGGGTCCTAGTGCCTGCCAGTTCCGTCATTGGTGACAGGCGCTCCTGGGTCCTAGTTCCCGCCTGCCTGTATGCCTTGTAGGGATCCTGCGCCTTTTGCAGATTCATGTGCTGCAGCGATTTTCTTGTTCCCTGACAACACCTCTCAGCGTGCGTTCCACTCACCGGAAGTGACGTAGATCGTATTGACGGCAGACCAAAAGTGCAGAGGTGCGTTCCAAGCGGCCATCTTTGATGTTGGATTACATTGTTATTCTCTGCAAACCGCAAGGCTGTGAGGTTCCTGCTATTATTGTGGATATGAGGATCTGTATGAGCCGATGAGGCTATTAAACAAATGCTTTTAACTTTCCTTGAACATGTGAGTGGCCTGGTATTATTATTATTATATTGAATGTTACTGGCAGTATTACACTATGGTATTCCTTTTTTCTTGCACTGCTGGGGAGCTCTTGAAGGAGTGAGGAGGAGGAGAGCATTAGTCAAGGTGGATAAAGAGCTCTGGAGAATTTAGAGGGGGCATAGGATCCCTAAAATCCTAAAAGGCGCATTACTCACCATTGTCTGGTGAGTGCGGTTGATGTTGATTTTTCACTGGTGGATGGTGGAAGCACAATTTCTTTGGGAGAAGATTTATTTGTTCATTATACACCTTTGGGAAGAAGGACGTTTCATTTATATTAATTTATTCATTTATGGCACTATTATTTTGACACTTATATTATTTACATTATTGATGTTGTTTAATGTCAATTTATGGTGAAGAGTTTTGGGTTTTGCGCTGTTATATATATTTTTTCTTTAAAGCTTTACGTGTTCGCTATCTGTTTACTCGGTGTAACAGTATTGTTTATACTTACCACACAATTGAATATCGTATTGTGTTTTTCTGCATTAAAATTCATTAGTGTTATTTTCTTACCAAAAATTGGCATTTGAAAAACTCCTGCACAAATACCGTGCAACATAAAAAAAATTGCAGCGCCCACCATTTTATTGCTAATGTTTGAGGTTCGCAGAAAAGTGCAGATATTTACATGTATGGGAGAAGTGTCAGAACGGGCCTCATATTAAGACTTATTTTATTTTTGTAAACATCAGCATCAATTTAAAGCTTTTTGAAGAGTTAACACTAATAAATGTCTCATTACAACTTCCAGTTGATCAATGTTTGCTCGAGCGATGGGCAGCGTACGTTTGAAGCCGCAGCAGTTGGTAGTTTGTTGGCAGGAGGGCCCATTGTTGCAGTGCTTGGAATGGTTTACAATGTCTATATTTTGGGTCCCACTGGTTTCCTTGGCTCTGCAGTTTTCATCCTCTTTTATCCAGCAATGGTAAGTGCTCTTTGTTTTTTGTTTTTAACCTAAAATTGAGGCTGTTGTCTTTTGGCTAATGTGAAAATTTGGCTTCCAGGTTATGCGATTGCTAAAATTCTCTAGAATATATTTTATAGTAAAGAACTGGACTCGGGCATATAGAGTAAAGTTTTCAGAATCGATGTTCATCTTAAATAGTGAATACACAGAAAACCTCTTTATTCATAATTTGGATGTAAATGCAGTGCACAAAATTTTTATTTTTGCAGTAAGATGCACATGAAAACCTAATTTTTCTCCCTAACAGTAACTTATCCATTAAAAGCCAGTTACACTTAGCATTTGACTTTCGAGTCATGATGTGTTGTCTCACTATTTGCTTAATGCATGTTTGTTTGCAATTGAATTTCTAGTTTTAAAAAATTGCCATATTCTCTGGACACTGCAGAAATTACCTTTTTGTAAGTTATTTTTGTATAAAAAAAAAATGCTGGCTGCAAAGAACCTTTTTAAACATTTGTCCTGTTTTTAGTGCAAATGCCTTAAAGGATTTGCCAATCCTAACAAAAAATTCCTCCTTATTTTGTCCCTTTTTTTGATCTGTTAAATATACTGCTAAAATAATTTTATAATATTTTATCGATAAATGCAAAAACTACCCATTGATTCTGCCAGGGATCAATTTCCTCTATTCTTTCCCTATGTCAGCTATATATTACATTGTTCCCAGATGTGTCTGTTGTAGAAAAGAGGAGGAGAAGTTGGGATGTTTGTAGTCCTTTCCTATGGTAGCATCTATGCTTTTCCATAGACATAGAATTAGGATAAAAGTGTAATATAGGATTACAACTCAACAATTTCCCACATGAAAAGTCAAACCTTTCACCCTTGAAAGTGCAAAAATCAATAACCTTTTCATAAACCGATACCATACACTCATAAATACACAATAATATCCATCACAAGTCCCGTGCAATAAAATAAAATCAAAAATATAAAAAAATATATATAGAGTCCCAAATACTCGTAAAGTATAAATTGTGATATTCCTCCTATATAAAGTCCCAAAAACTCATAAAGTTATAAGTTGTGAAACTCCTCACTTCTTCAATCTTCCAAAATGTGATAGAATCCGAATCTTCCCTTTCATCCAAACAGTACCTCAAAAAATATAAACTAAATATGGTGCATTATCCTTTAGACTCAATGTATGTGATAGCATGCAACACACTAGTGACACAACATCACACATGTGAAAAAAACACAACACACCACTAAACTAGTGGTCCTACAAAACCACCACTGCAAGACGTGACACTCTTCAAACCACACTAAGTGATCAGTGACAAAAAGTATCATATACGTGCCACTCCACGTGTAGGATAAATACAATTACCCCCTTAGACTTTATGCCACATGTAGTTGCCTTCACTGGGGATGTGTCATCCTTAGCAGTAGTTGGTAAAACAGCTTCCTCACACAATGACGGGCATCAAGATCCCCGTTCCTCACAGAATAAATGGGAGCAGACTCAGTGGCATAAATACAAATACTAACAAAATTTATTAGCACAGCTTACATAATAAAACATGCCGTCCATCCTCGCTGGTCTCCGTGCTCAACTGAGACCTCTTCCAAAATGGCCGCTCTGCACCTTCCGGTCTAGCGTCTGACGTCACGACGAGGGTCGTGACGTCAGACGCTAGACCGGAAGGTGCAGAGCGGCCATTTTGGAAGAGGTCTCAGTTGAGCACGGAGACCAGCGAGGATGGACGGCATGTTTTATTATGTAAGCTGTGCTAATAAATTTTGTTAGTATTTGTATTTATGCCACTGAGTCTGCTCCCATTTATTCTGTGAGGAACGGGGATCTTGATGCCCGTCATTGTGTGAGGAAGCTGTTTTACCAACTACTGCTAAGGATGACACATCCCCAGTGAAGGCAACTACATGTGGCATAAAGTCTAAGGGGGTAATTGTATTTATCCTACACGTGGAGTGGCACGTATATGATACTTTTTGTCACTGATCACTTAGTGTGGTTTGAAGAGTGTCACGTCTTGCAGTGGTGGTTTTGTAGGACCACTAGTTTAGTGGTGTGTTGTGTTTTTTTCACATGTGTGATGTTGTGTCACTAGTGTGTTGCATGCTATCACATACATTGAGTCTAAAGGATAATGCACCATATTTAGTTTATATTTTTTGAGGTACTGTTTGGATGAAAGGGAAGATTCGGATTCTATCACATTTTGGAAGATTGAAGAAGTGAGGAGTTTCACAACTTATAACTTTATGAGTTTTTGGGACTTTATATAGGAGGAATATCACAATTTATACTTTACGAGTATTTGGGACTCTATATATATTTTTATATTTTTTGATTTTATTTTATTGCACGGGACTTGTGATGGATATTATTGTGTATTTATGAGTGAGGATAAAAGTGTGTTACTGGCAAGATCACCATGTTAAAAAAAAAAAAAAAAGTTGAAGAAAAAAATTAGCACAGTAGCCACAATAAATTACTGATAAGCTGCTATACATTACCTATTGGTTTGGTTTAGATATGCTTTAAAACTGCTTCTCACAGATACTATTAGACAGTTTTTGAAATACTAAGCAATAGTGTCGATTTTTTAAGTGTGATTTTGTATCTCAGATGAGCAGTGTGACCCCTTCACAGATTTGTCTTGAAATTTATAGGCAGCTCTTGTACTTTAAAGCTGATGTTTAGCTAAAAAAAAAATCCCTACAGCTTACCTGTACCCTACGTATGTCCCACATTATGTAGGCAGCTTCAGGTTCTCCAAGATTACCATGGCAGATGGTCCGACTGGGACATGCCCCCTCCTTCCTTCATTGAGAAAACATCTTTCATACTGCTTGTAATAGACTCTGTAAATGAGGGAGAGAATACTGTGAGTGATCAAACTCTCCCCCTCTTACAGATTGTGTTGCAAGCAGTGTAATCAAATGAAAGAACTTCTATTAGTGGAGGAGGAGAAAGGAAGGGTTGTATCCCTGTTGGGACCATGTGTACTGCTGTTCTGTCTGTGGGCTCAAAGCTGTTAACTGTTGCAGCACGGAAAGTTCAGAAACAAGAAGGCAGGCATCCAAGCAGTGAACATTTCTCCACGATCCTTTTGCCTTCATATTGCCAGTTTATTGTATGACATACTTCATTGCAGGTAAATGATGTGACTTAAAAGCTGTAGTTTTTTTGCTAAACTTCAGCTTTAACATTGCAACAATTGTAAGTACTATTACCTATTACAATTATTTAAATATGTTAAATTCACTGGGTAATGTCTTTCAGATGTTTGTGTCCAGACTTACAGCCTATTTTAGACGAAACTGTGTGTCTGTCACAGATGAACGTGTTCAAAAAATGAATGAAGTTCTAAATTACATCAAGTTTATAAAGATGTATGCTTGGGTCAAAGCATTCTCACAAAATGTTCAGAGTAAGTAATTTCTGTGTGCAGAGATTTAGGGATCATCTGATTGATGCTTCTTTGAATCAAATGATCCATCATAAATTTAACACTACTAGTGTGAATCATTCTTTTTTTTTTTTTTTTTATTTGTTACTTTTTATTAAGAAAATAAAGGTGTGCCCAGGTATGTACATGGGAAATCTGCAGTAAACATAACGCGTGCTACCGAAAAATAGAATATAACATTCTCCGTGTTCTCTGAGCCATATTATTAAACATTTTGCATGTATCTATATATTTACAAGCATTTGTAGTAATGTATAGACAAAAACAACTGTGTCAATGCTAGTGACAGACAGCATTTAATTTGTGATATTATAGTTAGCCTTAAAGTTAAATATATTTCATCACCAGACTGTATGTGAAAAACACTAATCAACCCCCAAGTACAATTCCTTCATTCTTATTCAGTGTTATTACTTGTTGATTTTGCCTGCAGATCTGTTATTTTTCACTTTTTGCAATCGGATGACACTGCTGTTATTCATTGAAAAAGGCTTGCAGGGTTGTCACGATGTGGGTAGGGTAGCCTTAAGCCGGCCAGAGATGGTTCGAATATCGGCCGGTTCAGGTTCAGCCAAGGTTCGAAGCTTCGTTCCATCAACTTGGGTACAACCTGCCTGCTAGATTTTACATGCTGATTTTGCATGCAGATTTTATTGGCAGCGGCGGTTAGAGCCGATAGTTATAATCACTGTGGGGGCGGCTTCCACTGCCGGGAAAACACAGTAGCTCGATGGGGGGAGGGATTCCCCTGTGAACATTGTCTGTGTTGGTTGGGGAATTAAACATCTTTCTTTCCTCTAACCTTGGGTTGCAGGAAAGACATTGGCTGTCTATGGCCAGCCATAGATGTAGTTTAATGGGTTTTAGGTAAAAGATAAACAAATTAAAGCCCAACTTCACAAACACTTTTTTAGGTAGTTGAAACAGTTTTTTTCTTTTTGGGGTAAAAAATGTAACCTTACGAATAGCTTACTATTTGTTGAAAGCATCCCTTGCCAATGTAACATGATTTATTCCAACCCCTGCGAATGCCACAAAATAGCTTGACCTGTAACAGGAAGTTAACATAATAACAGGAACAACAGGTTATAAAACTGTTAAAGGGGTACTTAAAATACAAACCAAAAAATAGCTAGTTAATGCTTTTGACTTTCTATTATACAAGTCATTTTTTTTTTATTTTGTCCATTGTTACTTTAAAGGTTTTAAACTGTGGAAGCTCTTTAATTGTACAGTACACATTGTGACATTTGTGTGGTATTGTTGGCACAAATTTATGCGGGTCCATAATCCATTATTACTTTAGAATCACTTTAGGATATACAGTTAAAGGATTTTTTGGGGGGGAATTACGAACCTGTTATACTTACCTGATCTGTGCAGTGGTTTTGCACAGAGCATCCCCAATCCTCTTCTGGGGTCCCCTGCTGATGCGCCTGGCTCCTCCCCCCCTAAGTACCCCCATAGCAAGCCGCTTGCCAGGCTCACCCCCCCCCCCCCCCCCCCCGCTCTCTCCTCACTGGCTGCAACTGACAGCAGGAACCACTTCACGCAACATGCCTGCTAAAGTGTTTGCAAAGAAGTTGGCTATTCCTATGGTTGACTCTTCAGTCTCTGTCCTAAACAGACATTTCTATTGAAGATGTTTTTCTTGCAGTGATTCTGTAGATAGAAAATTTGAGATGCTGCTAAAAGCTTTCTTTACCTGGCATTCCCAGCCCTGCAACCAGTCCTAGCTGTTATTTCAGCACTGTGCTGATGAACAATTACAGCAATTACCTTCTGCTTTACTTTTTTGTGTGAATGCCCTAGAGCAGGGGTTGGCAACTGTGGGCCTCCAGCTGTTGGTGAACTATAAGTCTCATGATGCCTCTGCCTTTAGGAGTCATGCTTGTAACTGTCAGTTTTGCAATGCCTCATGAGACTTTGTAGTTCTACAACAGCTGGAGGGGCACAGTTGCCCACCCCTGCCCTAGAGCACATTATGAGTATAATACACCCATATTTAGGGTGTAACATGTAACCTGCTCCTATGCCCTTGCCTCCTGCCAAGAAAGCTCCTCTCTTTGTGACAGGGAGCGGAAGATCTTCTCTCTGCACCCATTGTCACTTTTTGAAAACCGTGTGTTTGTGTGGAGCTCTGCCCACACAGCTGCATCATTCATTCACAGAGATCTGTGAATGGAAAAAACTAAAAGCACTGTCTGCCACCACGGCATATATACTTGCAGTTTGAATTGACTGCAAGCCAGCTGCTCAGCACACTCGTAGTTCGTTCATTCTTCCTGTAGCTTTGTAACAGCTCATGTGGGGATATGCTCACAAAGCTAGCGGAAGACTGTGCAGGAGCCTGACATTACACTCGCGATTTGCTATTCGCTATAAAAAAAATAACTGCATGTTTTTTTTTACCTCCAAATAAATGTGTTTTTATTACGGTTTGGAAAGGTGAAATTAGACCTTAAAAGATTTGTACACATTTAAAGAGTACTTAAGATGCATATTTTAAAGAGGCTCTTCTGCTAGCAAGAATCTGCGTTTTGTGAAAATTACACCTATGTCTGTGTGAATGAGCCCTTAAAGTGAGCATTACCTCAGTCTCCCTTCTTCCACTGATCAGACAGTAACTATGTAGCAAGTCACAAGGTGAAAGGCTGCAGCAGGTTGCTGGTTTGTGCCAGACATTTGTCAACATCAACCAGATGCTGCACAGACACCAGGATTTACCATAATTTTATCATTTCAGAGTCAGTATTTAGATCCAGCAAGTGGATGCTTACTCCTGAATGATGCTTGAACAAAGTTCAGTTATTTTGAATAGATAGTAGTGGAAGGCATTGTCAGGGGAGTATATAGCAATATACACACTGCTGCTTAACCCCAGGGGGCCTCAGCTGGTAATGCAGATAGACAGTGCTCATAAACAGCTCCTGATTGCCATCCACCAATATATAACCAAAGTGTAATAGCTGCACACATCCTTGGGGATCACGGTTGAAAGTTTACATCATTGGTCCTAATTCTTACATGTTTCAGCTCTGTAAGATCCTTAGTCATAGCAATTGTCAGGGGGAGTACTATGCTTGGTGGTCAACAACGTGCAAGTTATACATTTTGCATAATCGTGATTATTCTTATTGTAAACTTGGTGCCTTCTGCTGGATGTTGAATAATAATTTTTTTATTGTAGAAATCCGAGAATGTGAGAGGAGTATTCTTGAGAGAGCTGGATATTTCCAAAGTATCACTGTGGGAGTAGCGCCCATTGTGGTTGTCATTGCCAGTGTGGTGACCTTTTCTGTGCATATGATGCTTGGATATGATCTCACTGCTGCCCAGGTAAATGCAAATCTTAACAATACAACTCCTAAAAGACCTTTAATATGTAAACAAATACTACAGCCTTATTGGCAGACACAGGAAGTTTGGTTTGTTACCCAGATTCACAACTAAGCAAGAAGCAGGATCATCAAAAGCAGGCAGAGCCTATGTTTTCCATGCTTTTTTTAGCCTGTGCTGACGATACCCAGGGTAGAAACTCTTAACCACTTTGTGTCGGGGCAATTTTGTAATTTTCACAAATGCACATTAAATGTTTTTTTCCTTATCTTATGACACTGTGAGTTAACAGCTTGACCACATATCAATATGTATGCCATCAGTTCATGTCAAAACCATTGCTTGACTCATGGCCAACTTTTTGCTTTTGGTTATAATTTCTCTATGAAACAGTGATTGCAATGTTGTGAATACCCTGGGTAGCTCTTTGTTTTCTACTAACATGCCTGCCTCAAGCCATGTTAGCAATGGCGGGATTATATATATTTTTGCACTAAAATCACACACACACACACACACACACACACACACACACACGTTTTTCCCTCTTACTTTTGAGCTGCTGTTATGTACAATTCACAAACTCCTCCTCCCCTGCAAATCCAGGGTTGTCCACCTATGATTCAGGCAGCCCTGGCCCCCTGATTCTCCGTCAGGTTCACTTTTTTCAGGCCACTTTATGGTACCTGAAGGATCCTGGGGTATGTAATGTGCATATCCCATGAGGGTTCAGAGTGGACAAGACTCTTTCTCACTTAGGGAAGAAGGGAGGCTGGGCCATGCTCTTTAGACTGCAGAGGAATGGAGGAGTGCAGTTATAGCTAGATCATCAAGTGACTAAAGGCCCACCTTAAGGTTGAAAAATACTTGAAATATTACAAAATAAAAGCTGGTATTTTACTGATCATAATCTTACACAATTGTATAATGAATCAACCTCTCATAAACTAAAACTTCTAAAAATAACGGACATTTGTTTCTCTTGCCCCAGCAGTAAGTTTAATATTTTAGCTAGTTTTTGAAGAAGAAATATATATAAACTACTACTGCTATCCTACCACTAAACTATTCAGTTAATGCAAAATTGTAGGTGAACATTCACTCTCTCGAAGGCCCACACAACACTCAAACTAAGAGTGAGGATGCTTACCTTGCACAAGAGCAAAAGCCTGTTTTAGCACTAGTCTCAGCATCTGATTCTAATGCTAATTCCAGCATGCAACAAACAGCATCTTTGACTAAAGCAGATTCTCTGCATCTTTGTTGCATTTCTTTGAACAGACTATGGCCTTTAATACAGCCATTTTTGCCCAGGGTCAGTTTTCATGCATATTGTCCTGCCCCCATTTCTCAGCTGGAGTCTGATCCTGATATGTTGGTTCTAGAGGAAGCAGACATACAGTGCATCCAGAATGGATTAAATTAATTTTTTTTCCCTCAACATTTTACAAACAATACCCCATAATGACAATGTGAAAGAAGTTCGTTTTGAAATGAATTTAATCTGTTTTGGAATAAGGCTGTAATATAACAAAATATGGCAAAAGTTAAGCGCTGTGAATACTTTCTGGATGTATTGTAGAGATTGAAGAGGATAATGAAGTAGTATTGGTGGAAGCTGACAAATTTTCTTCCCCAGGTTGCTACCAACCAATGAGATTTTCAACATTAGCCAGCAACATGCTGGCTAATGTTGAAAATCTTATTGTCTGTCTGCAAAAGCCTTGGGCATTGTGTGCAGACTGACTCTTCCTTGCCATTCCCCTTTTGGAAGAGACATGCAAAAGCTTGAAAAACATTCCCTGTTCATGAACAGAATGTGCAGACTATGTTGATGCGGTCACTCCTGAAAGGATTTTTTTTTTTTACCCCCTCCCCACCAAAATCTTTGCCTAACTCTATCCAGTGTAAAAATAGTTTGCAAAGAAGTGCGCTGTACCTGTTGTTTGTTTAGGATAGATGACAGGGTTAAGGAATCCAAACTTCTCACTGCACCTACTGCTTCTTTCAAAGATTCTAAAGCGAGAACATTTTATGCAGTCTTAAATGTTCTCTTTAATTATGCAGGCTCAGCCCTGTAACGAGCTCTCACTGCAATTTCAGTATGCTAAACTGCAGCTAACTGGACTAGAACAATAAACAACCTACTTGATTAACCTATTCATCAGAGGTAATAAGTGGGAAGGTTTTTCTTTAACAGTGGAAGGTCTGAGCCTCTGTAATTGCAGAGCACCTGTACACTCTTACCTGGCTTCAGCTTCCAAACCGAAGTTCAGCCCTTATTTTTGGCACAAGGCTTAGCCCACAAGGCCACCAAGCCTTTCCAAAAGCCCTCTTCACAGTGAAGAAGTGCCCTCATTACTAAGTCTATTGCCTCTCTCTGGGTCACATACATTCCAGAGCTATGGTTCAATCAATGGTTTCAAAGGGGTACAAAAGAGAGTACATATTGTATCACCCTACCACTTTCTTTCTTCAAATCAACTGAAAACTGCATATGGAGAGTTAGATTTGTAGAATGCCCCTCTTTACCCAGGGAGTCGTTGTGCCAGTACCACTACAAGACAGGTTCAAAGAATTCTACTCGAGCCTGTTTATAGTATCCATCCTTTTCTGGACTTAAAATCCCTCAAATTTCAAAATTGCGAATGGAATCCACAAAGTCAGTAGTTTCCTCTCTGAGATAAAGGGAATACATAGCATCTGTGGACATATAAGTTGCCTGTCTGCATCTTCTCATTTAGCATAACTAATTAGCACTTTCTGCTCTTCACAGTGACGGAAAGACTACTTCCAGTTTTTCACACTGCCCTTGGGCCTATCCTCTGCTTCCAGAGTTTTCACAAAGGCCTTGGTACCTTTGCTTGCCCTTCTCGGAACCTGGGGCATCCAAGTCACAGGCTAGAAGATCTTCTTAAGGATTCACCACCCTTTTTCAAAAAGTGTCCACAAGACAATTCATCTGCTCCAGGTCTTTGGCTGGGTGATCAATTTCAGCAAATCTGCTCTCCAGCCTGGAATACTTGGGGTCTGGTCTTCGACATATCCCAAGCAAAAATCTTTCTCCCATAAAAGAAAATATTAGAGCACATGGTTGTGAATTGAGATCTGAGAGACATCCCAGAATGATCATGTTCTTCGTGAGAGTTTGAGGCTGTACCATTCGTCCAATCCCATTCACAAATTCTCCAACTTAACATCTTGTCGACCTGGAAAAAACAGGTTCCTTCTCTTGTTTTTCCTATGCTCCTATCCAGCCAAGCAAGGAATTCCCTATCTGGGGTGGTTCACCACCCCAGCCTTAACCGTGGGGAAGTCTACCCTCCCTACCACTGGAAGTTTTTTTTTTTTTTTTTTTTTTTTTTTTTTTTTTTCTTCACAACAGACTCAAGTCTCTCAGGCTGGGAGTTATGGCTCCATCCCTAACAGCTCAAGGAATATGGTCAGTAGAGGGGAACCAAGCCCCTCATGGACAACTTATTCCTCAGAACATTCAGGTTGACCCTTCAGCAGTGGATTCTCCATCTGAAGGGGCACCCATTCATGGTGTGCAGTCAGACAGTTCCTTTCCTGTGGCCTACATTATCCGTCAAGGGGACACAAGGAGTCTGGCTACCTTGAACAAAGTGAACCAGATCATCTTTTGGACAGAAACTCACTGCCCAGGGAACTCTGCTGTCCACATCCCAGAAGTGGTCAACTGGAAAGCGGATTACCTCAGCCACAACCTACATCAAGGGGATTGGGCCCTTCATCCAGGTGCATTCAACGTGATATGACAAAAATGGTGGAATCCAGATGTGCTCATTCTAGCCTTCAACTTCAACAACAAATTACCACTCTCTTTTGCCATAACCAGATATCCTCCAGCTCTAGCATTGGATGCTTTAATAATCCCCTGGTTCAGGCTAATTTATGTCTTCCCCCTAGTGCAACTCCTGCCTCTATTTCAGAAACTAGGGAAAGAGCGGAAAACAGTGCTTCTAATTGCACCAAACTGTCCCAGAAGAACCTGGTAAACAGGCTTTTTTTCAGACTTCTACCAAACAACTCCTGGCTTCTTCCCATGCAGCCAGATCTGTTATCTCAAGGTTTTTTTTTTTTTTTTTTCTTAGTTGGTGCTTGCGCCATTTCTTTAGGGCAGTGTTCTATGGCCCATTACTCACATGCACAGGAGTGACGTCATCGCGGTTCAACCAGTCAGATGCATTTTGGCACCAAGCTTCTGTAGCCCAATTGTTGGAGGCCACCACATGGTCGTCTTTTTTGTACTTTTTCACAGTTTTACCAGGTGGATATCCACTGTTCTGCTGATGCAGCTTTTGGCTCCAAGGTTCTTGCAGGGGTACTCTGATGTTGGGTCTTCTGACCCTTTGTTTTTTTTTGGGGGGTTTTTTTTGTGCCTCGTTGGCATAGTTCTGTTTTCCTCATGGCCCACCCTTCTTATTGCCTGGAGACATCCCATAGTTATGAGCACTCTTTCTTTGTAATGTATTGTACGATTAAGATAAGAGTAATTTTGAATAACTGTAAATTCCATATATTGGAGTACAGTAAAGGACACAGGCCACCTTCCTTTCCATTCCTTGGTGTACTCTTCATCGCTTGCTACAAAAGTGGAGGACTGTTGGATTGGGTTATGGTTACAGAGGAGGTGCCCCGGGGCATGTTCTAAAGCATTGTCAGTGTCCAATAAACTGAAGATACACATCTGTAACCTATGGTGTATAAATACACTTCCTACATCCTGTACTGTACTCCAAGATATGGAATTTACAGGTAAGTCAAAACTTCTCTTTTCAGACTGGATGTTTGTAAAATATACAATTTGGCCCTCATACTGAAAAGTTTAGAGACCCCTGCTCTAGGAACAGGGATTATACCCCAGAGGTCTGCTTTGTCTCACAGTAAAATAAACTAGTATACTTTTTAGTAATCTCTAAAACTGAAAGGTGCAAAATTCATAAAGATTTTATATATTTTACATAGGTTCTGTCTGGAGTCAGCTATGGATTCCCAGCAGAGATACATCTGTGCACATGTGGCTAGTTGGGTTTTGCTTTATAAATCATGATACCTGCTTAACTATTCATCTTACTAGTACAGTTGTCTAATATATCTGAATGTTATGCCATGGGACATTCCAGATTAGAATGGCATCTGTTTATGAAGTTTAGTCATTTTTAGATGTGCAACTAGTAAATTTAAATCCTTTTCTAGTTATGAACAACTAAATGTCTCATAAATAAAAAAAAAATTGGTGTATTTTTATTATTAATTTGTAAAAGGTACACTTATTGTAATTTTTATTTTATGTTCTCACAGGCTTTCACAGTTGTTACAGTCTTTAACTCCATGACCTTTGCTCTGAAGGTGACTCCATTCTCGGTCAAGTCTCTGTCAGAGGCTTCTGTATCAATGGAACGGTTTAAGGTAAATACTAGTCCACAGTCTGACATTATATTCTGAGCTGCATGCCAAGTCCACTTCTGAGCAGTGTATACATTTGTATGCAGAGTTTCTAAGGCTAGGTTTTTGTTTAATTGGCATGGCATTGTCTATTTACATTAGCATTGGTCCATGCAGATAAGAATATTTTACTCATTTTCTTTTTTTTTTTTTTTGTCTAGCTGCATATTGTTGAGCCATTTAGCTCCAAATAGTTCACATGGGCTTTGATAATGCAGATGTTGTTTAAAACTCACTTTCTTGTGCTTAACCAGTTTTTAGGTCTATATACCTAGCGTTATGCCAGTTAAAGTAACTTTGGCGCAGGCAAAGGGACGTATGGGCTTCTGTGAAGGTAATGTAGGCCCACTAGAGCATGCCAGCTCTTAATAAATAGAACACATATACATACTAACAGAAAGTCGTATTGATTCCAGCTGTAGCAAATTGACAGGTTGGGGTGTGCTGGTCGAATTTCTTAGATCCGTACGTTTTAAGTCCTCCTAGGTTTAGTTTCCCAAGTTACTTCTATAATGACTGATGAGAAGAAGATGAATAATTTTGAACAGTCAGAGCTGATGTGTCTTGTACATGATTGCAAATAAACTGCTCAGGCATTTAATGATGGTAATCTCACAAATGAGGAAATCTTATAGGTTAGTGTGTTGTAGCATTCTAAGATTCATACTTTATAGCCTGTAGAAATTGCTGTTGAGAAATTGAAAATTAACAAACTGGACATGCAGAATTGGTCTCTGAATGTTTATATTAAGGCCTAAGAAGTAAATAAGTTAGTCAAGGCTATCTTAAGTGGTAACGCAGAACAAGTTAAATGATTGGGATTCTTGTGGGGGGAAAGAATACTATAAATATTCCTGGTCCTTAGCAAATATGAGGTTAGTTGACTCTAATGAGCTACCTTTTGCTCCGCAGCAGCTTCCTTCCACTGTATAGCCTGATGTTTTTGCTTCCTGCGTGACCTAGACCTGACCAGCTGTCTCATCTTTACACCTCTCTCACAACCTCCTATCAGAGTTTATTTCTAATGGAAGAGGTTTACATGGTAAAGAAAAAGCCATCCTGCCCAAACGTCACCATAGAGCTGAAAAACGCCACATTGGCATGGGACTCTTCTCATGCCAGCACACAGTGCTCTCCGAAGGGTACCCCTAAACTGAAAAAAGACAAGAAGGGGCCTAAGGGCAAGAAAGAAAAGGCCAACTTACAGAAAGAGGGGCCACAAGCAGTTTTGGCAGAGCAGAAAGGACATCTCTTGGTGGATAGCGATGAACAAGGCAGCCCAGATGAGGAAGGCAGAGATATCCAGCTAACAAGCTTAAGGCTACAGAGGGCCTTGTACAGCATTGATCTGGAAATTGAGAAGGTGAGCCACACTTTATACTTTAGCCATGACAACCAAATATAAACTAATCTATGTTCTAGTTATAAGTTTGGTTACTATCAGGGATGTGGAAATGTTTTAAACTACTTGTCCAAGGACTAAATCGGGGTCCAAAACTCCTTGTCCCTTATGACAATCTACTTGTCCTGATAAAATTTTTTTTTTTTTTTAACCAAAACCGTATTTAAATAAGGTCTTTATTTTTATATTATCACTGAATGAGACCGTTTTATCACTAGGGATTTTCAATGGATGTATTTCTCTTTTTAAACCATGAAATGACTGCCAGGATGGAAAATATGAAGGGTTTATGTTTTTTATTAGGTGGTTATATTGGGAGGTGATATTAGGAATATCTGGGGCTTTTAAAAATAAAAACGGGGCTTTGTGGCAACCTACATTTTTTTATTTATATTTTTAACATTGCACTGTTAATCTACTCCTCCCCTCCCTGCCTGTCTCCAGCACCGTACCCAGGGGCATCAAAGTCCCCATTTTTGCCCCTATACATGAGAGTCCACCCTTACTATGGTGTCCCGCAGAGTCCCTGCTTACATCAGACCCTAGTGGAATGCCCCAGAGCTCATTTAGTCAGAGCTCATCGCGGTGCCCCCTTTAGTCAGAGCTCAGCGGGGTGCACAGCTGCAGTCAGCCTGTCCGTCCAGGAGTTGACCAATAGCTTTCTTAAGCAAGTCTTGCTGCTTGCCCGCAGCAGGGCTACATGTAAGTAAATACAATCTGCTCGGCACCTGGAACGACATGTCTCGGGCAATAGGATTTCCACATCCCTGTACTATGTAATATATGTAATATATTTTTCTTCTAAGACGGCATTTGAATTTTTTTTTGTATTCCATTGTGGAGAATAAAATATATATATATATATGCTTATTTCTCCTTTTGGTCTTCCAGGGAAAGCTAGTTGGAATATGTGGCAGTGTGGGCAGTGGAAAAACATCTCTGATTTCTGCCATTCTTGGGCAGGTAATAATTGCTTCAAAGCATTTTCAGTTTGCTAAAATTGTTTTGGTTTGGGTGGTAATTAGGAGCCTGAATTACTTTTTTGTTACAAGAAGATTCAGCAGTTTTAACTTAAATATGTAATGCCTGGCCTTCAGGAAATCAGGTAAGTCCATTATTAAAATACATATAATATTGTGCAAAAGCCTTAGGCAGTGTGGGGGAAAAAAGCTGTAAATTAAGAATGCTTTCAGAAAAAGAAGTGATATTAGTTGATTTTTAGCAATTAACAAAATGGAAAGTAAATGAACAGACACCATTTCCTAGGCTTTCTTTCACTTAGCCTTACTTCCATGTCCTATGTGATCCTGGGGTTCAGAAAAATGGCCACAAGTTCTCTGGACTGATAAGTCAAAATTTTGGAATATGTGGCTGTAGCAGGAGGCAGTTTGCTTGTGAAGGGCTGGAGAGAAGTACAATAATGAGTGCCTGCAGGCAACAGTGAAGCATGGTGGAGATTCCTTGCAGGTTTGGTGCTGCATTTCTGCAAATTGAGTTGGGGATTTGGTCAGGATCAATGGTATCCTAAATGTTGAGAAATACAGACGGATACTTATCCATCATACCATACCATACCATCAGAGAGGTGTGATTGGCCCCAAATTTATTCTGAAGCAGGGCAATGACCCCATACATGCAGCCAATGTCATTAAGAACTATCAGAGACCTGATCTTAACATCATCACATCTGTCTGGGATTACATGAAGAGACAGAAGGATTTGAGGCAGCTTATATCCACAGAAGATCTGTGATTCGTTTTCCAAATAGTTTGGAAAAATCCTACCTGCTTCTTTCAAAAACTGTGTGCCAGTGTACTTAGAAGAATTGTTGCTATTTTGAAGGCAAAGGGTGATCACATCAAATATTGATTTGGATTTCTTGTCTGTTCATTTACTTTCCATTTTGTTAATTGATATTAATAAACTAATACTTTTATTTCTGGAAACATTCTTATTTTACAGCATTTTTCACACCTGCACAGTACAGTATATGCAATCTGTTTTACAAAAAACATTTGTTCTTTTGAACAAGTCTGTTGTAGAACTAAACTCCCTGAAACCTCCCTACAGGTGTCACTGCAGTTAAGCAATACAACATGGTCTAGGACCTGGAAATTCTGTGATTGAGTATTGATGAAGCAGCAGTATGTTGATGAGATCGCCACTCTGCACTTTCTTGTTAAGCATCTTCTAGCATTGACTGGACAGCATTGTGCAGTGCCATGCAGCCATACTTGGTTAATAGTGCTACCGCTCCCTAGCCATGTATGAGGGTTACTGTGCAGAGTATTTTAGGAGACTGCTATTGAGACCAATACGGGGACCTAAACTAGATGCGTTGCATGTATTTTTTTTGATGCATGGCAACGTTGAGAGGTGATTCTCTATATCTGCCTGAAGTTCCTTTTTAAAAAAAAGTCTTGCTGTTCTAATATGTGTATTGTCACAATATTGCACAGTGGAGAAAATATTTGATCCCCTACAAATTTTGTAAGTTTGCCCACTTACAAAGAAATGAGGGTGTTATTTTTATCATAGGTGTATTTTAAATGATCGAGACAGAATATCAACCAAAAATCCAGCAAAAAACTCATGATCCAATTGTTACAAATTGAGTTGCAGTTAAGTTAGTAAAATAAGTATTTATTTGATCCCCAAGCAAAACATGACTTAGTACTTGCTAGAGAAACCCTTGTTGGCAAGCACAGAGGTAAGACATTTCTTGTAGCTGGTTACCAGGTTTGTGCACATCTCAGGAGGGATTTTGGTCCACTCTTCTTTACAGATCTGCTCTAAATCCTTAAGGTTTCTTGGCTGTCGCTTGGCAACTTGAAGTTTCAACTCCCTCCATAAATTTTTTTATAGAATTTAGGTCTGGAGGCTGCTAGGCCACTCCATGACCTTAATGTGCTTCTTCTTGAGCCACTCCTTTGTTGCCTTGGCGGTATGATTTGGGTTATTGTCATGCTGGAATACCCATGCACGACCCATCTTCAGTGTTCTGGCTGAGGGAAGAAGGTTCTCATCCAAGATTTTACAATACATAGCCCTGCCATTGGCCTCTCAATGCGGCAAAGGTGGCCTGTGTCTTAAGCACAGAAACAGCCCCAAAGCATAGTTAATGTCAAAGAGCTCAATTTTGGTCTCTTCTGACCACAGCACTTTCCCCCAATCCTTCTCTGGATCATTTAGGCGTTAAGAAGGCATATGTACAGGCCCTATCTGAAGTTTGCCAGTTGAGGAGGGGGACCTTGCGGGTGCTGCAGGATTTCAATCCATGGTGGCGTATTGTGTTACTTTTGGTTTGTTTTGGTGACTGTGGTCCCAAATTCCTTGAGATCATTCACATGCTCCTCCCGTGTAGTTCTGGACTGATCTTTCACATTTCTCATGATCATCCTTACCCAATGAGGCAAATTTTTGCATTGCGCTCCAGACTGAGGGCAACTGGTTATTTTGTATTTCTTCTATTTGCAAATCACTACAACTCACCAAGCTTCATGCTGATGGTCTTGTAGCCCATTCCAGCCTTGTGCAGGTCTTTTCCCTGACATCATTTGGCAGCTCTTTGGTCTTTTTTTCCCATTGTGGTGAGGTTCAAATGTAAGAAAGAGATTCTGTGGAAAAATTGTCATTAGGAGCACCTTCTTAAATTGCCAGGACTAATATGTGTACCACATGAGCACATAGCCAGTCTGTGGGAGCCAAAATTATTGTTGGTTTCTGGATTTTTGGTTGATATTCTATCTCTATCATTTAAAATACACCTATGATAAAAATTATAGACCCTTAATTTCTTTGTAAGTGGGTAAACCTACAAGATCTGCAGGTGATCAAATAATTTTTTTTCTTACTGTACCTGGCTTTTAAATGTATTTTTTTTTTTTTTTTAACTCCAGGCTGTGTACCAGTTAGCCCAGGTTCACACTATTCCTAGATTTTAAGCTCTAACAAGCAGGGCCCTCTGTTTCCTCTTGTAACAAATTGTATTGTAACTGTAATGTCTACCTTCATTTTGTAAAGCGCTGCGCAAACTGTTGGCACTAAATAAATCCTGTATAATAATAATAATGTAGTGCAGGACACCGCATGTAATTCGCAGAGGAATACGAATTACACGCGGTGTCCCACACCGCTTAGTACGAACTTTGTATGGCTCAAATCACCTCATCCACACCAAAAAGGTTCAGGACCCTTTTATAAACCTGCACCATGTGATTCGATTTCTGGCAATCATCGAATTTTGCGGTCTGTTTCAGGGTGTCATTAATTTACCATTGACTCCCACACAGGACCGCATGAACGCGATTGCAGTGTGGTACGGGAAACACACAGGATTTGCAGCGTTTCCCACAGCGCATTGGTGTGAACCTGGTCTTAATGATTACATTGATATTTTGGGGGTCTTTCATAGCTCACTGTTAGAATAGATATCACAATAAGTTTTCTTCTTACAAGCACTTTAACAGAGCAATAGCAAACTGTGTTCCAACCAATGGCTCATTGTGATGGTACTTACCAGCTGATACAGCAGTTCTGTTTGAGGTAATCGCTGGTCTGTGATCTGGGGTTGACTGAACTTTAAAAACCTAGCAATCCTTTTTTTTTTTTAACATTTATTTTAAATACTGCATGTTTCTGTCATTTGTTTAAACTGAACGGTTAAGGAAAATGTAAGCGTCAAATAAGCATAGGTGTGGCAAAACAAAATACTTTAGCAGATCTTTGATTGTAGACCTGTAAAAGCTACATACACACAAATGGTTCTCACAATATCATAAATGGCATGCAAAAGCTTGTTCAGCACCTAACCAAATACAGCTAAGAACATACACAATAGGTTTGAAGGTTCACTATGTACCCATAAAACACTAGTATTGTAATAATAGCTAAAAGATACAGAGCTCTGCTGATCAAGAACATTCTTTTTCTGAGTACAACGCCTAATTTCTTTCTCATTGAGGGACACAAGAAGTCTTTTATCTTTTGGGTTTTAATTGCCACTTACACTGATTGGATTGGACCCTGACAAACAAAGGACTATAGGCTCAGAATAACCCCTCCAACTATCAGCATGCCTCATTTTTTTACCTAGTGTTCTTGGAGGACAGAAGTCTCTTCAGCTCTGCTTTGCGTAGGACTAGTGTATTTTTTCTTACGATCATTGATAGACACAGCTCTTTTTTATCTTGACTGTAGGGTTTATAGTGCCACCTACAGGAGTTGGACACTAGGTAGAAAAGAACACAGCACCATCTATAGGCAGTCTCCTCTTGTAGAACACCCCTTCTCTCCTATAGGCATTCAGTTCTTTATGCCTAGTATTTCAGGAGTAAGGAACTGGTTCCCTGCTGGAACCTGTGGTTCCATAGCCTTGATCCAGTGGTCACCCCAGTCTGGCCAGCGAGTGCCTGCAGACCTTTACTTGAACGCTGGGTTGGCCATGACAAAGCACCATCCTGGACTGGGGTGGTGAGCGAATTAAATGTCTCGGGACACATATGACCTGGTGCCGCAGTCCTTGTTACCCTGGCTGACAGCCCCCCACTTCGGTGGAGAGGAGGCTCTGTCTCGGGAGCATCACCCGCAAACTCTGTTGGGTCAGTTAGTAGACTTCCTGTGCCTCCTCTGGATGCAGTGTGGAGTGCGGGTTCTTCCTGAGATGGTTGGTCCTTACAGGGTTCTCCTTCCCTTCTAGACCTGGGCTTCTGAGCCCTACCCCTCCCGCTTGGCCATCAGAGGTGCTGCGATTGGTTGTCTTTTCTCTGCGGTCACAGCCCTTTTGTAGCCCTGCCTGTGTCCCTAGCTAGGCCACCCCGATTCCAACTAGAGGAATTCTTTCAGTGTCTTTGTTCCCCCAATGCATGTGACCCCCTCCTCCTCCCTCCCTCCCTGGGTTGGAGTCTGGACTGGTGGCTATGGGGACCTGCGGTGCTGGCCTCAGTTCGGGCACCTGGGGGATA